ATGCTTTATATCAATATTCAGGAATTTTGAATATTTAATTTCATAGGCTTTGTTTCCTCTACTATGCTATTTACATGCATTAATTTTTCCATTGTGCATATGATAGGGTATGTAAAATATTTATTTGAGCAGTTATTATATCATATTACTGTCAATATATTCCTCAAATTGTATAATGGAGTATATATAAAGTATAACACTGTGATTGTCAAATCAGTGATAAGTACCCATCTCTTCATTTCATGAAACTTACATGAGAAGTCAGTAAAACAAACTGACTCTGATTGAAGATAATGAAGCCGCTTTACCTTAATCCACAGTATGCCCTTCTTCTTACATTGAGTTTCTCTTCAGTGAAAACATCCAAACCTGTAAGCATGATTTTCAATTGAAAGAGTAATTGGAGTTCAAAATATCAGCCAGTTAAATGTAAGATGGAATTCTGTACTGTAATGCTCAGCTTTATCCTATGTAACTATCAGGCAGAAACTTCTGGGCGCCTACCACAAGGTCCAGATCTATGGTCTGGAGCAGCTGAGTCTGGAGCCACCCTACAGCTGGTGGCAATTCTAGGAATCCATAATTTTTTGTTGTCAGTTTAACAAGTCTGATCCAAGGAATTCCACATGGGAGAGGCAAAGGGGGGCAATACTGGATATTTTGGAGCCACGTCTATTCGAATTTCCTAGAAGTTGTCTCCTGTTTCTCCATTGATCCCACTCTCCATTGATCCCACTTTTTCAGATCTCTCTTCTTTGTGAAAGAAGAGAGATCTGAAAAAGTGGGTCCGCCACCATGGTTTTTCCAGCAGAATGCAAAATGCCCTGGATTAAGCAAAGGAATTCCTAATTCTGGTACCAATCCTACCACACTGAAGTCTTCAGTGCTTTGCTAAGAATTATTCTAGTATTTGTTGAATTTATCTCTGTTTTCAATGTCAGTGAGTACCTCCCTCTGAAGATGTATGGATTTTTTTTTACCCTGCTCATTCTTTTCTTTTCTTTTTTTAAAATTTACATTTTAATTTTACCGTGATAAGAATACTTAACATGAGTATTACCCCATTAAAAGACTTTTAAGTGTACAATACTGTCAGTTTATAAAGCCTATTCTGAAAAAACAAACTGAGTAGTACAGCAACTAGTTTTTTTTTAGACAGAAAAGAACTAAAAAACCTACAAGTTCATCATGAGAGCTTACCTTTATATGTAAGGTATATATATCCTTATATTAAAATTATCTGCAGTTTGTAAAATATTGCATGGGCAACACATTAATTAAAACACTTTTTTCTAAAAATGATATTAAAATCACATCGAATACATTTATAAGAAACAATATTTACCAAATGCTACATAACATATACTAAAATTATTTATTGTTTATCCGAAATGCAAATAAAACTGAGCATCCTATATCTGAAAATCCTAATTTTAAGAGATCTTATTTTGAGACACTGCTTCCTCTTCACTTGCAATATCCAAATGCCACCATCAGCTCTCACAGATCAAATAGATCTATGACATCTAGTCAATTCATAGGATTTAACACCCTGAAAATATTATTTTACTTCAGGGAACCCCGACTTACAAAGGAGAAAATGAATTTTTTTGTGTTGTAGTAGAAAGAATCAGCTCTCAGTGAACATGAGTGTTCATGGTCAGAAGCTAGGAATCATGGGAAATGACCAACACTCAGATGATAATCAAAATCAACAGTTCCCATCCGCTCACCTTTAATGAACGATTTGATTTTATTCTCCTAAATTGCTCTTATTTTTCTGTAAGTAAGGAGAATTTATGCTTCTCCTCCCTCTTTGAGATGCTCCCTGAGAAAGTGGCATGTAATTCATTCAGATGATGTTGCCCAAATCATCTAAGGAATTGGTAAAAATTACCCTGTAGTGTCTGCTAATTACCCAGGAGAAAATGTGAGAGACAGTTCAAGGAAAGAAACAAAACAACATCAACGTGGTCTGAGCATGATGTAATGGCAGTCACTCGCTCACAGAGTCAATGACTAAAGTAACTATGGAAAATACTTCAATATCAGATTTATCTCAGTAAACCTGGAACAGTTCCTAAAGTCATGATAAAATTATAAGTGACATTATCGTCTTCACATAGGATTTTTTTCTTTGAATTTATTTTTGAAATAAAAATATGTAGTAAGCACTGGGTTAAAAATATATCACTAACTTATGTGAGATAGATATGCTATTCTCATATTCAGTGGACACCAAGCTCAGATAACATGTAATTTGCCCAAAGCCACATGATTGATAGCTAGGAGATTTGAAATGTATGCCTCATCTTTAAATAAATGATATACGTGCCTTGTCCTTTCCTATGACAAACCTGTAACGATTATTGTAATGCAATGCGTTACTGTAATGATGGCCTCAATTGTAGTGTTTCCTGAGCTGAGAGTCCATCATTCTTGGATAATGTTCAGTACAATCTCATTGAGAGTAAAATTTAATAGAAGATAGTCCATTCCATCTCTCATAAATGTTATGCATGCTCTCCTTCTCTATGACTTCTACATGTATAAGAATTGAGGGAAATCTACCAGTAGTTAAATATGGATCTAAATAGTAGAAACATCCAGCTCCTTAGCAATAGATCCTCAGGTTTCCATGGTTATCTAGCTGCCTTTATAGATTTTCTGGTAATTAAAGTTCAGTTGCTTCCTGTTGTTTCTGTAGGATATTTTAAAAAAACTTTGTTAGTACCTGGCTTCTATATTTCTTCCTTGAAATAGTTATGACCTAGTTCCTCTAGCAATAGTGGGCTACATTTGTTTTTTCACACCAAGACACAACTTCTGTTTGATTAGTTAATGTTTTTCACAGGTATTCATTCATTCATTCATTCATTCATTCATTCAGGCATGCATGCATTGTTCTTGATCACTTGCTTAGACATTGCTAGTAAATTAGCCTATAATCCTGGTCATTTTGTTAGAGGGCTTGTCCATTTTCCTTTTTTTTTTTTTTCTTTTATTCATTTGACTTTCATTAAAAAAAATTTAAAATATATTTATTGCTTTTCAGACTCTTGATTTTGGAGATGTCCTTTCTCACTGTGTATTGTAATTACATGGTTAAGTTTACCTTAACAGGACTTTCTCTGTGACAATCCTAGAAGGTTACTTCTGTTAACAGTACCTTGGTGCTACCAACTCAAGACTCTGTATGTTAATTTTTCAGCTTGAAGCTTCCTTACTTGTGCAGAGAGCAAAATCCAAAATTCCACCCGTCTGAAGAAAGACTGTGGTTGCTGATTCTCAGAGGAAGCTTTTTTTTCTAACGAATTGCAGATCATGGTGGGCAAGTTTATTTATAATGTTTGATGACAAGCAGATTTATTTTGTTAGGATTTTCATGAGAATGACAGTTTTTCAGATACTAGATTTATATTTAGGTTTTCATGGAATTCTGTGTTGTTCATGGGCCTAAAGGCTTAGCACCTTTTTGTACAAATTGAATCTCACTTATAAAGTTAAAAAGTTTTGCAAATATCTCCAGGAGAGTCATTGTATCAGTGTCCATATTTGCTTTTTGATTTTCTTCTTTTTCTTCCTTTTGAGCCTAATAACAAATTTATTTATTTCTGTGTTATATACAATTGTTATAGTATGTTTTACTTTTATAGTCAACATTTTAATGTATTCTTTTTAAAAAATATTTTTTGAGGAAGATGGACTTATATCTACTCTGCCATTTTCTAGAAATGCAAGTACAACCATGTTTGCCT